GCTCAAGAAGAAGCGCATTAAGGTCATGGAGTGGCCTAGCCAGTCTGAAGACCTTATTCCTTTAGAAACTTTATGAAGGGAGCTAAAACTTCGAGTTGCCAAGCGACAGCCAAGAAACCTTAAGGATTTAGAGAAGATATGTAAAGGGACCAAAATCCCTCCTGAGATGTGTGCAAACCTGGCAACCAACTACAAGAAACGTCTACCTCTGTGCTCACCAACAAGTACTAAGTCATGTTTTTCTTGGGGATCAAATACTTATTTTACTCACTGAACTGCAACTCAGTTTATAACATTTGTATCGTGCGTTTTTTCTGGATTTTTGGTTGATATTCTGTCTCTATCATTTAAAATACACCGATGATAAATATTATAGACCTTTCATTTCTTTGTAAGTGGGCAAACGTACAAAATCTGCAGGGGGTCAAATCTTTATCTTCCTCACTGTATATGTATGTATGTACCGTATTTTTCGCTCCATAAGACGCACTTTTTTCCCCCCAAAAGGAGGGGGGAAAAGTGCCTGCGTCTTATGGAGCGAATCCCGACGCCCGATACATGCAGTTTCGGGCGCCGGGTGAGTAGTAGGAGCCACTGCTCGTTTAATACGAGTGATCTAACGAGATCACTCGTATTAAAGCCGCGCAGCGGCGGCGCCGATCGGGTTCAGCAGCAGGAGCCACTGCTCGTTTAATACGAGTGATCTAATGAGATCACTCGCATTAAAACCGAGCAGCGGCGACGATGGAGATCACCATAGAGCAGACGAAGAATAGACGTGTCATCACTGAGACCGTGGCGCTGTAATCACAGCGCCACCTGTCTCAGCGGTCACTAACTGCAGCTTCTGTCATAGAAGCTGTCACAGAAGCTACAGTCTCGAGTGCTCCATAAGGCGCGCTGGACCTCCCTGCGTCCTATGGTCCGGTACGTCTTATGGACCACAAAATACGGTATGTATGTATGTATGTGTATATATATATAGATATATACAGATATATATATCTATATATATTAGGGATGCACCGATATATCGGCCGCCGAAACATATCGGCCGAAAATGGCACTTTTGGCATAATGCCGAAAGAGCCATGTTTCGGCCGATACATCGGCGCATCCCTGGTTTCTTTCCTCCCCTCTGGGCGCTGCTCGGTGTTCCAGCGGGGAGAAAAGAAAGTGACTGCCGGCCGAGCGCTGCAGGACGAGAGCGCTGTGAGCGTCCGGCGTCTCTCCTCCAACACCACTCAGCCGCCTATCACAGTCCGGCAGAGCGCTGTCACAGGATGCTGAGCTTACCTCCCTGCTCCGCTCGATCAGCCTCCAGTGACAGCGTGTCAGAGAGGAGAGCGTGTACAAACACTCAGCGATCAGTGATCAGTGATCAGTGATCGCTGAGTGTTTGTAGATAATTGAGGATATGGTATGTTGACTATATTCTCAATTATGAATGAATGGGAGTGGTCTGCATCACCTCCTGTTCATTCATAGTTGTAGGTATAGTAAACATACCATGTCCGCATGTTATCAATTAACAGGAACGCTCATTCCTGTTCACTGATAACAGGGGATGCAGAAAAAGAGATAGAGGACTTTGTGCCCTAAATGTCTTTTTCTATTTTCATCCCAACATACAACAAATAGTAAGTAGGATTTATCAAATGCCCAAAATCCTAACTATAAAAGCTGTTTCTAATTGTTAGCAATCACATGACCTACTCTGGAGAAAAAGTTTCCCATATCTATTATCTGATTTAGGTGAAGAGATAAACCCGCCCAGTTTGGAATTATATCAATATGAAATTCTCAAAAAATCCACTTGAATAGAAAACCCCTTCCCTCCAAAATAAACATATATTTTTTAATAAGTTTTATCAGATAGAGAATCCATCCGGTCCGATCAAAGGATGCAGCTGGACTGCAAATCTTGTAAAATACATTTTATAGACGTGCCGAGAAGCCACAACTTCCTTATAATTAATAATTAATGTAAGAATGCGGTTTGGCACAAGATGAATCTCTTCTGCAGAAAGTTATCTCCGACTGTGCTGGGGCTGATATAAAAATATCAGTAAGATAGTAAGAATATCATTATTATTTCTGTGCACACAATAATAAAAATAATTATTATTAATATTATTTGTATTATT